GTGGTTCGCCGGCCGCGGGTCCACGCCCTGGTGTGCCGGAATACTTCCAAGGAGCCGGTCCGGACCCAATGCCAGGCAACCCCTACCACCAACCCCAACCACAATCCCAACAGCAGCAGCAATATTTAGCGGCCGTTATGAACCAGCAGCGAGCCATGGGGAACGAGCGGTTCCAGCCGATGATGTACGCTCCGCAACCACCCGCTGTGAACTACATGCCACCTCATCCGCCGCAGTATCCGTACCCTTATCCGTATCCATACCCGTATCCGCCTCACGGAGGCGATCAGTACTCACATTTCTTGAGTGACGAGAACCCATCAAGCTGCAGTATAATGTGAACCAACAAAAACAAAATTATATATATTTATATATAATATTATATGATCATAAGGTAAAAAAAAAAGAGGATGCTTCTTATAGTTTGTATCCTTCCCGGTCTCTCTTTGGTTGGTTATATACATGAAAATGGGGGGTGTTTTTACAACTCTTTTCAAATCGAATCCTAAGTTATTTTAGGGTTTTTAATTTGTGATAGTTTCAGTAGTTTTTATAGATCATATCGTAATATATATATATATAATATAAAATCTAAATTGTACCCACTCCCCTTCTTTTTCTTGTTGTGTCGTTATGGATTCCTAATGAGATAATGTTCATATGTGTTTATATGTTTCATGAAAATGCAAAAATAAGACCATACGAGTGTTTTTTTAAATTATTAATGATTTCTTTTTCTCTTTATTGTCTGTCTTCGTCGGTCATGGGAAATAACACTATGAAATGGCACATAGACACTGCATTTGGCTCATTGCTTTACTATCACAAGCTTTTTCATAATTAATTTTAATTTGGAATGCATAGAGATTTAGGTAAAAAGAGGAAATAGATTGATTGCATATAAAAATTATTAAAAACAATAGTGTACGAAGAAATTGAAATAGTGAAACAGTGAGTGTGAAAGTGGGAACAGCACTTTCCAATACAAGGGACAAAGAGAAGTGATTAGTTATGTAACCCCACCATAAAACACAAAAATGTATATAATATATATATATATATATATGTATATATAATATCCAATATCCAGTGGAGTTTGACACTTTCTCATGTCCTCACTTGAGTTTGGATGTCAAGCATCTACTATTGGTTTTCTATCCACATTGGATGGATGATTTTAATTGGAATTAGTTTATATATATATATATATATACACATAAATTATTCGTATTTATTTATATATTCAGTTAATATATGATATGAATTTTAGATATTTAGCTTGTTAATGAATAAGTGTGCGTTTGGTAAAAGCGTTAATGGCGTTGTCGTGGAGATTGAATTCTAACATTAGAACAAGAATTTTGCAAGAAACATCACATGTTGAATAATATACATTGACAAAATAAAATAAACATCATCATCATCATCATCATATGAGGAGGTTGCATTATGATGATCATCATTATAAGAAGGGAGAGTGTGGTGGGGCCCAGTTATGTTGGGTAAGCAGAGAGGATTTAATGAAGGCTGTCAGCTAGTAGCGTCACAGTCTGTGACTCACAGACTTAGACGTCTCTTTTTATGCTTTGCGTTTTGTTTTTCATTGAATTTTGTGTTTTAAAAAAAAATACATTCCCACAAAATACCAAAAAGGGCTTTGGATTCGCCAATCTCCAATTCTCTTGTTCTGGATTCATTTTCCCTAATTTTCGTACCATATTTTTGCTAAAATAAATATAAATAAAAATCACATAATCAGAAGATTGGAAAATACGGAGATATCTACTTTATCTTACAAAAAATATTATGCTAATTTTTTCACTACTGACAGTGTAAATTAAGAAAAAAAAAAATATTAAAACGTAGAAAATAAAGGTCCATAATTTCCATGTAGAAAATAACATCTTCCTAAAATGATCTTTCATGTTGATAGAGAGAGTTAACGGCGGCTTAGGAGTCTGAAAAATTATGTCAGACATGAGACATGACATATGAAAACGTTTTTTATTTTAGTAAATGAAATAATCGTTGCCTTTCAATGATATTCAAGTTCTTTTTCGTTAGAAAATTTTCGTGATATTCAGATTATTTTTATTTTATTCATACTTATAGAATTATCCTGTGATTTAATTATTTATTTTATTTGTTTTTCACAATTCAATCTAGATTTGAAGAGAGACGAAAACGTTTAACTAAAGGAGAGGAAGAATATAAGACCACCTGTGATGTTCAATGTGATAGTGAGAGATCCGACGCTTTTTCAACTCTGTTTGGTTGTAGCTCTAAGACTATCCTTCCTCGCTTTCGGCTACCGTATAACCGCGTTGCCAATCAGATCATATTACGGGTATGACAAAACCGACCCGTCTTTTTTGCCTTTTTGTCTTTTGGCCCCAATGGTTTTCCTTTTTACATTCTTATTTCTCTTTTTTTTTTCCCATTCGATATTGCAATTTGCCGGAACTAGTATATAATTAAATTTGTTTTGATAAAGGATATATTATTATTAATGATTTATGTAAAAACTGAAAAAAATATTCGACTGCGAAAAAAAATTAATAGGACTATGAAGTCAATACTTCACCGGTTTAAATGGTTTAGGTTTGTAGAGAAATAAATATTATTAAAGCATTGAGAAATGTATACTTTTAAGGCTCGATTCTTATTGGACGTAAATTAGTCATTGCAACTACTCTCTCTTTCACGTTTCATTGGTGAATCGCATTGTTTTCTTAGAAAAATCTAGCCTTAAAAATATCTTCGTTATTGTAACAATTTGTGTTAAAATTTTCATTATTCTAATTTTTTTAATAACATATTTATTATTTTATAATTTTAAAATATTTTTTCCTATTCGTTTCCTTTGGCTTGGGGTTATGTTTGTGCATCAGTGTATGTATTTGTTCAGTTTTACTAATTAAAAAAATTATCTGAGTAATTAAATAAAAATGCATCATAGGAGTTTGCACAGGTAAGCTTGGTCTAGTTGGATAATCGTTACCCTGAAGTGTCCAATCACATGATGCCACATCATCTCATGAGAGAGAAATATCAGCTGCACATTTGAGCATATTAAGAGTGAATCTCAGCCGTCCAAATGGGAGTACAGATGACACCAAATCGAGCTCGGCTGTCGAGGGCGTGCATGGGACCCACGCGCTCCTCTGCCTTCGCCGGTTACAAAACCGCGAGAACAACGAATGAGATGACGTGAGAGGTTGGTTAGCGGCGTTATGTGTCATAATTAGTTGTAACGTGACATTCTGAAAAACAAAAAAAAAAGCAATTAAATTAAATTAATTAATTAAACCCATATAAAAATGCACGTTTAAAAGTTAAAATGCTTCGTAATAAACAGATCAAGGGGGAAAAAAGAAGGCGACGAGCACGATGCAGACGTTGTACGTATTTAATAAAGAAATATTGTTTTGATACAAAAAAAAACGATTAAGTTCAATGATCAAAATAGATTAAAAAAGATATAATCATAGTTTGATTAAGTGTTACAAATTCATTTCTCTTACAATATTCGATGTGATTTGCGGATTGGATACTAGATCGAGCGTTAGATTATGGATAATGGGTATTCTTTAGTAATATAAAGTAATTAATATCCAATGGAACAAGATATAACAAATGCTACAAGGATGAATCGAGGTAGAGAGAGAGAGAGAGAGAGAATGGGAATATGACATTGACATGGATTTGGAGTGGGTGAAAGATTTAGGGTTTGAAATTGAGAAAATCTAGAAATAGAGGCAAGTGGAAGACAGAAGAAAGAGAGGTAGAGGAATGGTACTGTTATCAAAGCGCACTAAATAACTTCTCTGGTTTTGTAAATGAGAGAAAGAAAACTGCAACCGAACAAAAGTCAATTGTGTCTTATTTGCTACCACTGTCTTGTTTTTAGCACATTTCCCACGTCCCACACTTTTCAAACTTACATGCATGCATCTGTGTATATTTGTGTGTGTATATATGTGTATCTTTAGACATTCGTACGCGAATATATGTGTATGTATATATATATATAACCGACGACACATGCGAGAGTGTTTATATTCTTTTGATGGAGAGGTGTATACACAGTTACGATCTCTGAGTAGTAACATGATACTTCTTTCTATGGTTGAAGCCCATATAATACCATATATACATGATTGTGTGTCGTATCTTGTAATCTTACCTAGTGGTATGGCATTGGATTAGATTATATACATGTTCCATATCTTGTATTCTTCATTTATGATATGCATACGCTACATCACAAAGCAACAAAATTGTGACATATACATATGCATTTTTTTAAAAAAAATTTTACGTAAACGAAGATCTTTTTAGGGTTTGTATGTATCATAGCAATATTGTTGCTTATTTGTGATGGAACGCTTATGAAGAGATTTTTTTTTGTAACAATGCATATACGCATCGGTTATTATAACTCTGGAGATTTCAATAGAGAGAAATTGTTTACACCGTTATACGTTGCAGAAAATGAATCTTAAACCCAATATATATAGTTTTATAAATTAAAAAGCTTCAATTTGAATAAGTCGGTATAAAACAAATAGTTTACATATACTAATAATTTTCAAAGATCTTTGATTATAGTGAAGTGCATGTGAATATACTTCTTCGGTACGAGTTGCCTATATTATTCCATAGACGTGTTGGGTAGGTTTCTTTTAGCACAGAGGATTTGGTCTGCGTCCAAAAGCTTTCGTGGCTTTGTAGATTCCGTTTTGTTATATATATATATATATATATATGGTTATATATATTCATCGATGTTTTGGGAGAAGTGTTGCACAAAGTCGAAATCCTTCCCCCTCTCGCCTAACTTCTTGTGCTTGACATTTTCTTCGCTCGTCAATATTCCCTAACTCCCAAAATATCAAAGGATAGATTGTTTATTGATACCGTACATACACACATACATATATATATATATATATGTGTGTGTATGATTATAAAAATAGGATTGAACAGAGAAAAACGGGAATGGTGTTGGATAAGTAAAGACTATGGGCATAGCTGCAGAAATACCCTAAAGATTTTAGGTTCTACATTTTTTTTTTTGCCTATTTCTGTTTTTTTTTGGTGATTATAGTTAAACATATAGATTATAAAGTGTAATTCATAAAAAAATCAAAACCATACACCGTATATCATTAATCATATGTTAATATTTCCACATTTTTTTAAATTTTAACCTAAAAGCAATATTATATATATAAAAATTAATTAGAAAGTGGAGGTCATATCATAATGGCCAAGAGTACCTGTGGGATGCAACAATGAGTGACTTGTGCTGTCTACACTTCTCTCCCTTTTGATGTAAATGTCGCCTTTGAATTCCGAAGGCTCCACTTGCTGCTTTTGTCATCTCACTGCTCAGGTCCCCTCCGTCTTTGAATTTCCTTTCTTTTCCATTAAATTACTATTTTACTATTTCTAGTTTTTCTTTTCTTTTTCTTTTAATCATGTGGACCGATTTGTTTTTTTTTTCACTCTCTTGTAGCAAAAAATCATAATTTCTAATCTGTTTGCCATATTCTTTTCTCAGCAAATTTAAATACGTGGGTCGATGTCTAATCTTATATATGATCTGATACATGTATATATTTAGAATCAGGTATATTTTATTTGATGTTCTCTCTGTGTTTCTTTT